CAAAATACACAAAAAATCGATATGCTATTTACAAAAACGGTAGGTTTTTGAAAAACAATCAAAATTACGACCGACTTTTTTAAACTTAAAATTATAAAGATGTTGAGAATATAAATTGTATTATCTGTTGAATTTTTTTTAGATTACAAATTACTTGTACACTGAGCATCCAGATAATGTGTTTGGAATGGACATTTTCAGCTTGGATATACAACGAAACCGCGATCACGGTATTCCGTCATATACGGAATTTAGAAAATATTGTGGACTAAAACCTATAATAAATGAACACGACTTTTCCCAGATCATGGTGGAAGGTGTAAGTTTGAAAGTATTAAGATATAAAATGATGATATACTTATTAAATTATTTCTCTACACTATGTAGGCAACTGATAGATTATTAAAGCAATACGAAAATTGGAACGAAATAGAGCTATTGGTAGGCGCATTGTTTGAGAAACATGAAGATGACGCAATGGTTGGACCAACGATGAGGTGTATCATAAGAGAACAGTTTATAAGAACTAGAATTGCAGATAGATATTTTTACGATTTACCAAAAGTATTCAACGAATGTAAGTAATCTGATATATTTTCAATGACTTATATTCATTGTAAATGTGTTATATTTTAAATTTAAGATCAACTGGCAGAAATAAGAAAAGTAACGCTTGCCAGAGTCTTTTGTGATAACAGTAATAATGTTGCAATGATGCAGAAACAAGTATTTTTGATACCTGAAACGGCTGATTTGCAACATTGTGATTCCCAATTAATTCCAAAAATCAACATCAAACACTGGTCAGAAATGGTCGATTCCATTCGAAAATAACCTTAAACACAACATTGATGTTTTTATTTGCAATAATATGTTTTATTGTTGAATCTAAAGTAATAGCTTACCTTTTATGAGAATCAAAAGTTTTTTATATTTAATAATAAATAATCATTACTATGCCATTAGTTGAACTTTTTTGCATTTTACCTGTATGTAATGTGTTCATTTTAATAAATATTTTTAATATAAATTAAAAGTCCATATTCAATATTTGATAAATTAAAGTTTTGATTCTTTGAAGTACATTTTAAAATGTTCATATACTTACATTAAAAAACTAAATAAATCATTTTAATCAATTAGATATCCAATGGACAAGACCATTAAGGATAAGTAAAGAATCTGTTACGGAAATCTGCCTATCATAGATAATAAAAGAAGAAAATCAAATTTCATACTACATAGCATCTACATACTAAAATGATAAGTATTGAAATATAATATTGCAATATTGACCAAAAATAAAATTATACGTTATTGATAACTATCAAGTATCAAAAATACATTCGAAAAAAAATTGAAATTATTCACAACTATACGATTACATTTCATTAAAAATCAAATATTTACAGACTTGTATAAACATACTAATACTATCTATCAACATGTTTTAATTCGATTTTTCATTGATTTATACCACACTGGAATCCTATAGGTGAGATTATTTTTCAAAAGCGGCTGTGGGTGAGTTAGTGTAACAATCTGACTACGTTCTTTTGATGGTGATGAGAATAAATGAACAAGAGTTTGATTTTTCTTTATAATTTGAATACTTTTTATTTAATTAATACAAAACACAATAAATTTACTAAGTCCAAAATGACTATTTTAAATAATGAAGACTAGCGAGATGTGACTTTCATATCCTAGCTCCTAGCTTGTCGTTGGTGTTGGTCCGTCTAGTTCGTCTAGCTCGGTGTTGCTGGTCCGTCTAGCTCGGTGGTGTTAGTCCGGCTAGCTTGGTGTTGTTAGTCCGTCTGCCGAAGCCTATTCGTGCGACGTATTATGATGGCTATACTTGGATCGTATCCCTGCCTATTATCCTACTACTTTACTTATAAGGTCATACCGTGGGCGGCCACGCACTGCACACGCCGGATGTCCCTTGCTTATCTGGTCGTTGTCATCTCTACAGAGGCAACACAACACTTTTAGTGTGAACTATTTTAATAATATTCATATAAGTAGTTATATATCTATGAACATATACGTTTCGAGGTCACGCGCAATAGATGCGTCGTAGGCCTCCTCCAGCATATCGTGTTTCTTCTGTATATTTAGAACTACTGGAGGGATTTACTGGAATGATTATTTATAATATGTAAAACATAGTCACAGCTCGCTACATAAGTCACATTGAGTAGTGAGTGGGCATTTGGATCTCCCTTTTTGTACAACTAGTGTTTAATGTCTTCTTGACCAATCTCTGAATGTGTTTAATATAAAATACCTATGATGGAACTTACAGTATAGGAGTTCGTATACCAAATATATCATTATTCTAAAATTTGGATTTAGATTTCTAATTATAATACGTATAAAATACTATATTTTAGCAAGAAAATTAATATCTACTTAATCAACGATTTAAAATGTATATTTCAGTAAAAGCATAGTAATTTAAAATTTAATTAAATTTGAAAAGTGAATTTGTTTGTTGAGATGATGAAATCCATATATTTGTTGTCTCCTCGTCATACACGTACAACATTTTCATTCAATAGTAAGCTTATATTTTTGATATGAGGGTGAATTGACTAACTATCAAATTGTCAGGTATTACAACTTATCTGTGCTGAAGCTTGAGTTTTTATTCGATATTATAATTTCCAAGCAAGATGTGATGTTGCTTAATTTTTTTTATTTCATATACCAACCTATATCTTGCTTAAAAGTAAAAATATCGAAAAAGTCGACGAGGCATCACAACGTATAATATTGATATTTCTAGTTGTTAAGTAAATTCAACTAAAACGACAATTACTCATTTACTCCAAAAAAAAAAATCAGTTTCAGCTACAGCCAAATTGTACACCCAATTTGCCTATTTGTACCAAAAAATAAAAAAACATGTTTCTCAACGTAATATTTGCACCAAATTTAGATATTTAACATTTTACATTAACGACATGATTTACAATATAATATGGTTATTTATACATTACTATATTCTACTAAATTCTTGCCTGTATTTTGCTTATCACACTAGTATTATTAAAAAGAAAGAAATTTACTACAATCAAAAAAGGCTAATAAATATTTTTAACTTGTAGACAACGGTCAGGTATTATATTATATTGGCGTATACTTTTTCTGAAAACGTTAAATGGTTTTGTAGTTCAAATAAAATATTTCCACCCAGCAAGACTATTTTAAGACAATATATGACTGCAACATGAAGGTGTGTGGGTGTTGAAGACATAAGTATTTGATCTCGGAAATTTTTTTAACAGAAGTGCCTAGTTGCGTATTTAATTTAGATTTTATTCTAGTGACTTCAAAAAATGGTATCTTAAATAACAACATTTCCAATGTCAATACAGACAATGTAAAAGTATGTGCATGATGTATACCATCTTCATCATATTAAATATTTCAATACATTATTTATATTTAAATAAAATGTAACACGATGTATTGGGTTCGCATACAAGGAGTTGGTATAGGCAATTCGTACGACATTTTCTAAAAATACAAACATACATACTTTTTCTGAATGTGCAAATTGAATTATTAAAAAAAATTCAAAAGTATTCTAAAAGTAATCAACTAAAAGTAATTGTATTACTACAAGTGACTATTGTGTTATTGTGAAATTGTATTTAACAATACCTTGGAATTTTAGTTAATTAACTTATCAAAAATGCTAGTGATGAAACAAAAACAAATGGGTTGAGTGTCCTAGGATATGGTTTTATGTTTCTAAACATCAATATTGGAACACCTGATATCTCTGTCTTATCCATTTGTTACTGGCTCATATGGTTGTTGATATTAAGATAGAATTTAGAATTAAATAAATAATTTTTTAAAGTTTGTATTTATAGTAGATTCATTTGAATAACAATCAAAATGTAATTACTTTATTTTCAAATTGAGATATCTATATTATATTGTTTTCTATACATTTAAAAAATACTAATGTACTTTGTACATAAAATACTATGTTTAGAAAACGATAATTCATCACTGTAGCAACATTTAGAAAATTTGAATGTATTGGAAATCTACGACTTTAAATAATGTTGTTACTATTTATTCATTGATTTTTATGTACCTACTTATTTCTAAGGAGTTTAGAAATCGAAAAAAATATAATTTAATAATAAAAAATCTATATAGAAAATGATATCCCTGACATCTTCAAATCCTCGTTAAGAGCTCAACAAAGTTACAATTTTAAACAGCTTTAACAAAATTTTATTTTTGAATTCCTATCGCATGTTTTGTTGCATTCTAGGTTTGTTTAAGGTGTCTTAATATCATTATAAGGTTTAGCTATTTAGTTGTACATATACTATTCTAAGGTCTATGTTTTCAGATATGTTAATAAATATATACTCATACAGTTCTATGCAGGAAAATAATAAATGAAGATACACTACAGATAGGAAAAGTCCTTAACAAATTTTTTTTTTTCAAAATTTTCATATTAAAATGTATTTTTTTCGAAGGTTATTGTTAGGTACTTTTTGTTTACCATTATATCGATTCTGTAATCATAACTGTTTAGTGTATATATTGACCATATGATTCTGAATATTCAGGTAAATCACTTGTATAATTTTGAACATCAGATTAGCTTAGCACACACCATATACTATAATATTTTACGACATAGTGGTCATATGATACTAATATTTGTAGTAAAAAAATTACTCTACTGACTCGTACTGTAGTTACAACAGATATAGTAACATCTTAATTAATTATGTGATTATTTATTCTGTTCAAATGATATTTCTAAGTCGAATACGTATGTTTTCGACAGCCACACGGTCTGTATGCTGCATTTATATTTTTTCTTATAATAGTTTTGCTGGTATATAATTATACTATATACAAACTCCTTAAATTAATAATAACTATCACA